CTATCATTGGATCAAGTTGCAACGTGAAGCTCGTCGAGAGACATGCATGGGCCATACAGGCTGCAGCATGGCATGAGTGGAATCGTTCCATTCGTGTGCAGGTTTAATTTTTTTATTTACCTTGCAATTTTTTTTACTAGAAGCTTTACTTTATCAAAGCCATTTATAAGTAATGGAGTCGCAGACTTTGCCTTCGACGAGTTGCTTTGTATTTTGCACGAGTCGCTTTGCTTTATTTCAGAATACACTTAGCTGAAGGCATCAAATAGACATACGGAAAGCAACTTGAAGCTCAACTGTGACGAGGCAGCTTTCAGTCCGCAAGCACCGGGTAGGTAGCGGCAGTGGCGACTCCGCACAGGTTATTTTTCTGTGAGATCTTGATGTAGCCATCCTCGCCCCAGTGCGTGCTCCACGAGTTCTTTACCTGCATAAACACCTTAGTTACTATCACCCTAATAAAAAAAATAACCACCCTCGACAGCGCCCTTACCAGCGTGTACTTCTGGTCGTTGTGTGTGGTGACTCCGACTGCCAGAACCGAGTGATCGAGGCTGTCCAAGTCGCTCTTGCACTCGACATCGTCGTAGTAGCCGCCTCCATAGAAGTAAAACGACGGGAGGTTCGCATCGATGGACACAGACAGCGGTCCGATCGTCGCCAATGCATCGTTGAGAGCCTGCACGCTCGTGACATTGACGAAGCCTTTCATGCGTCCGATCGCATTGTCCACATTGAAGTGGCAGTAGTCGGGCGCATTCCGATAAGCCCCATAGGTTGCGGTGGTTTCGAGTCCACCGTTGGCTATGATCCACTCATAGGCCTGGTAGTCTAAGCCTCCGTTGCACGCGTTGTTGCCATAGTCCCATCTGTCAATACAATTCACATAACTTCACTTAGCAATAAATTCCACTAGTTCATCTAGAAAAATGCACATACGAGCAGTCCAGGAGGTTCTGTTGAGACATATTGTACAGCTTTTTCTGCTGAGCGAATAGCGCACCCTCCAAAGCGCCAGTCGTGCTAATCAAGCATACAAATTAGAATAGTTAGGCGAAAGAAAAGCACCGCTAGCACAAATATCACTCTCGATTCCGTACCCGAAGGTCCAGCAAGATCCACAAGCGCCTTGGTCCTTTACCGGCGTGACAGCTCCCTTAGTTCGCCAGTCCACGTCTCCGGGGTCTTCGAAAGTCGAAAGTTCATGCACAGCCATCGCTTTGTTATCCTTGGCGCGTTTAACCCGCGACGGACGATGCAGTGCACGTCGCTCTTCGTAACTTAAGTCAGCGAACTTATTCACCTCCAAGTGATATGGCAGTCCCTGCCAAACACATTAACCTATCAGTGTGTTCCAATAGCCTCACAATGCTCGCTCCGTTGCGTACCTTGCGGTTTTCCCCGTTGATGAAGCGAAGGTTATGGTGGAAGGTCGCCATGCGCTGAACAGCCTCAGCGTCGTCGTTGTATTCCTTCTCATGAGTTGCAGAAAAGTTGTCGAAGATCTCCTTCTTCACTGTGGAGCCTTCAGGCATGAGCATGTGGATCTAACGAGCCAGAAGCGCGCATTGGTATCAAACAGCATCACATAGGCAATAATAAATGCACTTACATCTTGCTTAGGGATGCGTGACGGACCTCCATCATCACCAGGCATCTCGGTACAGTTCATCGAAGATGGCAGGAAAGAAAACACGTCCTCGTCCACTGGCCCTTCGCGTACGTAGATGTAGTCCAAAAAGTATTCATCAATGTGGCTGCCTCCCAGCATTCCGTTGCGTCCCACATAGTGGAATCGTACAGGGCGTTCCGTCTTCTGGTCCACATACAACGTGTACTCTCCCAATAGTCCATCTTCAGTGGGTTCATGCAGTTTGGTGACGAATTTCCAG